CTGCGAATCATTACACAATGCAAAGTAACATGACTGTTAATTGAGCAGTGAACTACAAACGACGGTTGTTGGAAACAACATTTTTTATTTTCTCCATCCGTAAATAGGGCAAATAATCAGAAGTTCACCTTTACTGTATGCAATGGAGGTACTACTTACTTCACAGGTGAAATAATTTGCAATTGTCAATTTCTGAGAAGAAAGGGGAATACAAATTTTAAATTACTTCTATATTCCTGTCTTTTTAAATTTTAAAATTATGTAAACTTATGATCCAAAGCTTATCTTTCCAGCTTCTTTTATTATAAAAACAAATGTTAAATAATTAAAATATAGTATATGTCTCATAAATATAGGTTTATCAACAAGAGTCAATAATCATATTTTCAAATTATTTCAAAAAATTGAAGAGGAAGGAACATTTCCAAACTCATTTTATGAGGCCAGCATTATCCTGATACTAAAACCAGACAAAGACACCACAAAAAAAGAAAACTACAGGCCAATATCCTGATGAACAAAGATGCTAAGATCCCTAAGAAAATATTAGCAAACTGAATTCAATAAAACATTAAAAGCATCAGGGGCTGGCCCCAGTGGCTGAGTGGTTAATTTCGCACGCTCCGCTTTGGCGGCCCAGGGTTTTCCCTGGTTTGGATCCTGGGCGTGGACATGGCACTACTGATCAGGCCATGCTGAGGCAGCTGTCCCACACAGCACAACCAGAAGGACATACAACTAGAATATAGAACCATGTACTGGGGGCATTTGGGGAGAAAAAGCAGAAAAAAAAAAGAAGATTGGCAACAGATGCCAACTTTAAAAAATAAAAATAAAAGACTAAAACACCACGATCAAGTGGGATTTATTCCAGGAATGCAAAGATGATTCAACATCTGCAAATCAATCAATGTGATACACCAAATTAACATAATGGAGGATAAAAATCATATGATCATCTCAATAGATGTAGAAAAAGCATTTGACAAAATTCAACATCCATTTATGATAAAAACTCTCAACAAAGTGAGTATAGAAGGAATCTATCTCAACATAATAAAGGCCATGTGTGACAAAACCATGGCTAACATCATACATACTCAATGGTGAAAAGCTAAAAGCTTTTCCCCTAAGATCAGGAACAAGACAAGAACGCCCACTTTCGCCACTTTTATTCAACATAGTATTGGAAATCCTAACCAGAGCAATTAGGCAAGAAAAGGAAATAAAAGGTGTCCAAATTGGAAAGGAAGAAGTAAAATTTTCACTAATTGCAGAGGACATGATATTATATATAGAAAACCCCGAAGATTCCACCAATAAGCCATGAGAACTAGTAAATGAATTCAGTAAAGTTGCAAGATACAAAATTAATATACAGAAATCAGTTGCATTTCTATACACTAATAACAAACTATCAAAAAAGAAAAATTAAGAAAACAATTCCATTTACAATTGCATCAAAAAGAGTAAAATACTTAGGAATAAATTTAACCAATAAAGTGAAAGACTTGTACTCTGAAAACTATCAGATACGGATGAAAGAAATTGAAGATGACAGAACAAATGGAAAGCCACACCATGCTCATGGATTGGAAGAATCAATGTTGTTAAAATGTACATACTTACCCAAGGCATTCTGCAGATTCAATGCAATTCCCCTCAAAATTCCAATGGCATTTTTCACAGAATCAGGACAAAGAATCCTAAAATTTGTACGGAACCACAAAAGACCCTGAACGGCCAAAGCAATCTTGAGAAAGAAGAATAAAGCTGGAGGTGTCATGCTTCCTGATTTCAAACTATATCACAAAGCTGTATAATCCAAATAGTTTGGTACTAGCATGAAAACAGACACATAGATCAATGGAACAGAAGAAATCAATCCACACATCTATGGTCAATTAATCTGACAAAGAAGACAAGAATATACAAGGGGGAAAAGACAGTCTCTTCAATAAATGGTGTTGGGAAAACTGGACAGCTACAAGTAAGAGAATGAAACTGTACCACTATCTTATATCATATACAAAAATAAATTTAAAATGTATTAAAAACTTGAATGGAAGACCTGAAACCATAAAACTCCTAGAAAAAAACATAGGCAGTCAGCTCTTTGACATTGGTCTTCACAACAGTTCTTCGGATCAGTCTCCTTTGCCAAGGGCAACAAAAGTAAAAATAAACACATGGGACTACATCAAACTAAAAAGCTTTTGCACAGCCAAGGAAACCATCAACAAAACAAAAAGCCAACCTACTGAATAGGAGGAGATATTTGCAAAGCAGACATCTGATAAGTGGTTAATATCCAAAATATATAAAGAACTTACACAACTTAATGTCAGAAAAACAAACAACCCAACTGAAAAATGAGCAGAGGACGTAAATAGATGTTTTTCCAAAGAAGACATACAGATGGCCAACAGGCACATGAAAAGACGCTCAACATCACTAATCATCAGTGAAATGCAAATCAAAACCACGATGAGATATCACCTCATGTCCGTCAGAATGACTCTTATCAAAAAGACTAAAAGTAACAAGTGTGGGCGATGATGTGGAGAAAAAGGAATCCTCGTACACCATTGGTAGGAATGTAAATTGCTGCAGCCACTACGGGAAACAGTATGGACGTTCCTCAAAAAATTGAAAATAGAACTACCATGTGATCCTGCAATTCCACTTCTAGGTATTTGTCTGAAGAAAACAAAAACATTAATTTGAAGAGATATATGCGCCCCTATGTTCACTGCAGCATTATTTACAATAGCCAAGATATGGAAGCAACCTAAGCGTCCGTCGATAGACAAATGGACAAAGAAGATGTGGTTACATATATTCAATGGAATACTATTCAGCCATAAAAATGAGTGAAACCTTGCCACTTGCAACAACATGGATGGACCTAGATGATATTATGCTAAGTGAGATGAGAAAGACAAATACCATATGATTTCACTTATATGTGGAATCTAAAAAATAAAACAAACAAACCAAACAGAAACAGACTCATAGATACAGGAAACAAACTGGTGGTTACCCAAAGGGGATGGGGTAGGGGACAGATGAAGCAGGTGAAGAGGATTGAAAGGTACAAACTTCCAGTTATAAAGTAAATAAATCACGGGGATATAATGTAAAGTATAGGGAATATAGACAATAATATTGTACTAACTTTAATGGTGACAATAACTAGAGTTACTGTAGTGATCATTTCACACTGTACATAAATATGGAATCGCTGTGATATACACCTGAAACTAATAGGACACTGTATGTCAATTACACTTCAATAAAAAAAGAGTCAATAATAAGAATAGGTGATATTACCTATATTTTATAGAAATGTAGCTGTTTGATCCATTGTGGAATTTTCCAAGGCTTTACAAAACTTAAAACCTGAAGGAAAACCCCAAGAGGTAAATGGAATAGAGCTTAAATGGGAAGATAGCCACCAGGATCCAGGCTCCTCTAAGAATCCAGCATAATTCAATGTGAAATCAGGGACTTGGCAAAACCATAACCTACTATAAAAAGGATAAGCTGTGCTTTCATAGGACAGTCCCTCTAAAGGAGAAGTCTCTAGACTCAACCTCATTTTGCATTAAACTGCTACTTAGTCACATTTTAGTAACTGTACCTCATTCTGATACTGGGAGGCAAAAGGTTCACATTCTTATTTCACAACTGAAGAAACGCAAGTAAAATCAACACTGATTCATCCTGGACAATACTCAACTATATATCAACACTCACAGTCCAACAACTGGGTGAGTTCAGCGCTAGCTGTGCTCTCCTGGCAGTGAAATCATTTTCTTCAGTTCATTTCGATGGTTTTCTTACTAAAAACAATGGGAAACAAGTAGAGGTCTGTGGAGGAAGAGTGAGTACTAGTCAGGACTAACAAACGCTGTCCGTGGGCATGGTAAAGCCTCCTGGGCATTGCTGGCCTGAGGATTTTGTAATTTGGGTTCGACTGTAGCTGGCGACACACTACACTTACTGACACACACCACAGAGAACGTTTTTGTCCTCGTCCTTGAAACACAGTAAGAATACCACAGTTTACATCTTCTATTCCTTCAACACGTATTAGGGCAATTTACGCAGCAGTAGGCATTCACAGGAAACACTTTTTTGTGCACCTAAGATGAGGCTGAATAAAAACTGGTCCCTGACTTCATGGAACTGGCCGTTGAGTGAGAGAGACAGACAAGCAAATCAATAATTTCCATAGAAAGTGTCCAGCTCTTTGCTGGAGCTGTGCAAATGATGCTAGGGGAAAAGAGGCAACGGCAGACAAACGAGATCCGACAGTGGGAAGCTGCTTCTCAGAGGAGCTGACTTCCAAGCTGTCAGTAGCAGAGTTTAACCATCTCTGACTCTGACTTCAATTCCCCGCACTCAGGTGAGAAAGTACCTCCTGACCCACTTTTCTGAGTACTTGACACCGTCACAGCCAGATTTAGTGCCTGTGTTCTAAGACGGGGAGAAGGAGAGAAAGAGACAGAGACAGAGAGAGAGAAACACAGACCACAAGGAGCGGAAGAGCTCCATCACAGACAGGTTCCAGAAGGTGCTAGAGGCTAGGAGGAGGAAGGGTAACCACCCTGTGCCTGAGGAGTCTGTGTCCTCAACACCGGTGTAAAATCTAATCCACAACCATGGTTTCTCCTTGCCCAGCACTGGGATATGGGAACGCAGTTGCCTTCAATCCAAGGAACCTGGTTGAGCTAAGCCAGTGGGGTGCTGCCTTCTACCACCAGTGAGGGCAGTGAAATGAAGGCAGACCCCTGTGCTCTCCTAGAAAGTGAGTCCAGACTCATTGGCCCACTCCCCATGGTGACTCCTCCACCCAGAACACCCCAAGTACCGCAAGTCTTCCACCTTCCCAGAGATGAAACACATCTGTGATTCCGCTCCTGCCTCCTCTGGGATCTCATTCCCCACCCCGGAACTCTGCCGAAGAGCAGAAAAAAAAAAGTGTGAGTTATTACCTTAGATTGTCGTCCAGGGTCTCCTCATCGGAAGAGAAGGTCCCATTGCTGACACTCCGGGGAGAATGGCTCTTCCTCACTGAGGCCTCCTGGGACAACGAAGTGTCTTTCTTTTTCCTTTTGCCAAACAGCTTCTTAAACGGCTGGAATTTGCCTCCCTTCTTCTTGTCTGTGGATTACAAGACAAATGCACACTGCGGTTTGACAGGGTTGCACCTCTGAGCCTAAGAGCAAATTACAACTGAGCTGCCTCCAGCCAATGGAGCAGGGGCAAAGGGCGGCCATCGGAGTGAATGAGCGACCAAGCTCTGTGCCAGGAATGTGCGGGCCAGTCCCTGGCTGTGCTAGCTCAGGCAGAGACAAGCCAAGGGCACTGAGTCTTCTGCCACCCGAGCTTCCAAGAAACACCTGGGACAACAGGAAGGGGTTCCAAGCTTCATGGTGGCCAGCACAGCACCCCCTTGCACATGCCACACAAAGGTGATGCCTGCTTTCTTTAACAAAGCAGATGGCCTGTGCCCTTCACGGAAAAAAACTGAGAAAAACACGTAAGTCAGACAGGTGTTTAAAAAAAAAAAAAAAAAAAAAAAAAAAAAAAATATATATATATATATATATATATATATATATATATAAAACACCTCCTCTGAGAACCACTCTGTTTTAGCCTTTGTTAGACACAGATGATAACTGCTAACTCTTGGCATAAGCTCTGCCCCCAATTCCCTCCATCCCCATATATTTCCAGTTTATTTCTCTCGTGTCCTTTTAAAGTCTACTATGAAGAGCCACAAAGGAGTTGCTATGAACTTCCTTCCACATACTACTGCCTCCAGTCAGGACCCAGGCTCAGTGCCAGCATTTCCTGCAGATGTGTAGGTATTAGGTAATACCTTTGAGTTCTGCTCCTTCAGATACAAATCCTCCACATCACTCCATTCCTACCTCGGAAAACAAAGTGTAAATTACCCTCCACAAGAAGAAGCATCTTTTCAGCTCTTTCCTTTTAAGAAGCTTAAAAGTCATTTATCCAGAGGTCAATCTTTTTTTTTTTTTTAATTATTTAACCCTTACTATGCACCTCTGCTCTAAGAACTTTACAACTATTAACTCAGTTAATCCTCGCAACAACCCGATGAGGGAGCTACTCTTAACATCCCCATTTTACAGATGAGGAACCTGGGGCGCAAGGGAAATAACTTGTCCATGTGACAGGAAACACGTCTTTGAAGCTGGAGTGTGGAGCCCTGAGGGAAAAGGAAAGACGAAAGCTCGCTCTGTGCTTGGAACAATTCTGCACAAAACACACAGGCACGAGCCCCAGCTGAGGATCAGAGCTCCCAACCTCTGCTGGCCAGAGTCTACAGGGAGGTCTGGGTAAACAATTGAGGGTCACGATGTTCCAGGCAGCCACCTCATTTCATCTGGTGATCTTCAGTTCTGGCCTTACTGAGAGTTCACAGAAAATCTGAAGTGAGGAAGAAGTGTTTTAAACCACTTCACCCTAAGCAGTGGCGTTAAGACAGGAAGCAGACAGGAGAATCACCAATTACAAAAAGACAAGTCTGGAGTCCTCAGTACAGGCGCAAACAGACCTTCAAACCTCAGCAGTCCCTGAAACAACGCTGTCTTATATCCCGTTTAAAAGGAAAGGAGCTGGATGATGTATCAGAGGGCTCTGTACACAAGGCATTGTGCTAGGCAGGTAGTCCTCAAAAAAGGGTTAAATTATTTCCACTGCGTATTACTTAAAAGACAAAAAAGTGTGCAATACAACTGAGATCATATCATTTAAAAATGGTAAAGACAAAAAAAGACTGGAGGGTTTGACTTCAGAATGTTTGTATGTTTTTCAGTGGTTATTTATTCAGGAGTGTAGGCCAGATATTTTCACGAAACCTACTTTTGGTTCCCATGAGTATAATCTCCAACAGATAATTTTTAAAAAATTATAATGAGTACTTTTGAAGAGCATCAAAGAACATTATGAAAGTGTTAAAAGAACTGACCTTATATAAAATGAGTCAATTAAAAAATTTAAATTAGAAAAAATTCTATAAGGTGCTACAGGTATCATTACATTATTACACAATTGGTCTTTGGCAGTGACTGATGAAATAAGTGAATCCTCTCTCTACGACTGTCCAAGGGTCAAAATACATAAATGACACCTGATTTCTAGTTCTGGCAGCATCACTGAAAATGGTCAAATAGTAATTTATGCTACACTTCACTTATTTCCAAGGTGAAATGCTTCCTTTTTTCTTTTATATCAATTGCCTTTTTCCCACTGCAGAAATGTCTAACCCCAAATTCTCTAATCAGAAATATTTTAAAAGACCATAGCAAAATTCTAACAATATCAGTTAAGACATCATTACCCCCAAGTCAGGGTCCACAAACCTAGTTTTTAAGATAAGTCGAGAATTTTAGATTATGTCAGAGTTTACTGATAGGAAAAAAAAATCACCACTTGCTCTAAAGTCAAGGTGGATTTGGTGGTGTTCAGTTGAGTTGGAACCAAAGGAGTTAACTATAATTAAAGACAAGTTACAGTTTCTTGAACAGGTTCCTTGTATATTTCACTAATGGGTGACTTGGTCTACATGGTCAGCTGGTCAGCTGAGAAGGCTGATGAGGTCCTTTGTATCAACTCAGGGTCCAAAATGGTGGAAGCCAATATATAAAATATTTGCTACACTGGTATATTGTTGGGGGAGACAGAAAGCAAACAGAACCTGGAAGAAGCTGAATACAAACACAAGGATGGGATAAAGAGAGGATGCCAGGATCTGGAAGCCTTATTCTGGAGAACTTGGTGGGCTTCATGCAAGCACAGAATGGCCTCCTTCAGGCCATCTGTAAAGCTGGTCTGTTTGAGGACAGCTGATGAACCAGGCACTCTTGCACTCTGTGCTGCATGTTATATGGGCAATCACATGGCATGAGTACACATATTATCCTAGAAGATGGGTCAAAGTCCAAACGTCAGCGCACGTCTCAAGGATTACTCAGGAAAGGCTGTTTCAGCAATGCCTTAGCTATTATCGGGCAGGTAAAGGAACATTAAACCTACCTGAACTGAACTCTCCATCCAACAACCCATCCTTCTTACCATGAGAAGAAGTTCTAAGTCTTAAGAACACCAGTCTCTCTTCAGAGGAGTCAGAACACAGAAGCTTAGTGTTTGTCAGATTTCGGATACAAAAAATAATTTCTCCCTCCCCATTTCCAAAATTAATAATACATTTCCTGTCGGAAATATCTTTAAATTTTAAGTAAAATTTAAAAGGCTACTTTTATAATTATTTTATTGTTGACTGTGGCAATTAATTAATTTTCCAGGATTACCTTTATGAAAAGACTCAGTAATCACATTTAGGCCCACCTTATATTCTGACAGCAAACCATGACTAAGCAACATTAATAGGGAATGAAATTTTATAAATCAGAGAAGGCGTTATACTCTTATTTACTTGATCCCTCAATTTTATTCTCAAAGTTTGGGATAAGATCTCTTGCATCAAAAGAGCAAGTACCTAAACTTTATGAAACATTTCCAACTCAATGCCACAACCACCATTATGAAAACCTGAGCATGTGTCTATAAATATCCATTAAATAAACTACTTTATGATCAACTTATGATTTGGGGGCTGCGTTAACACCCTGTCGCTACAGGATTAACTGGATTAAGTGCATGGTCAGTCATCACTAGCAACTATTTTCTTGACAAATAGCACCACCTGTTATTGTGAGTATTTTTGTACAGATGGGGCCTAAGAGATTAAAGCAATTTTAACAATGTAGTAAAACAGTACTTCACCAATGCTAACACGAAATACTCTAAAATACAACTATCATATAGAAAGAGTATAGTTTAGTATGCTCCAACATTAGAGTATTTAAGATGGCATTTTCAAATTTTACAACACAAACTTACTTTTGTTGAGTGGTTGGGGCAGTGGGGAGAAGGGGGAGGGAAAAGGAAGAAATGTAATTGCTACTAAATTTGCTGGCTGCAACTCTAGTTAGGGGTTAAGTGCGTGGGCCCCAGAAACAAGAGTATTTGGCCCGAATCCTGATCCCATCTCTTACTAGCTATGAAACATCTGTTTACCAGCCTCTCTGGAAATTTACCATCTGAAGCTGAAGGATTGAATTTATAGGCGAAAAGGCACTGGGTGCCACATTTTCTTAATATTTCAGCATTTTTCTATTGTAATTTTTCACATAAAAAAACCTAAATATGCATATACACTGCTTCAGGGATCACAGTAATTTTCATTCTTTAAGCACTGAATTAAATTAATTTATTTTCATCATCCAATAATTGCTTTGGGGAATTTTTTTTCATTTAAAAAAGTACTCATTATCCATTATTTCATGGATATAATTACATACCATTGGATGGCTGCATCATCATAATTGCCAGTTTATACGGAAGATTCTAAAAATTAAAAATCACTGAGCAAGCCAGGCAAATCAGATTCATTTTCCATTTGTCATAAGGATGCAATTCTTACTTTTTCATTTCTAAACCTTAAATAATAAAAGTATACCATTTCTCTGCATTGGATTTATATGGTATGTTTTCAAATGAGAAACAGAATTTCCTATCATAGTTTATTTTAAGCATCATTCAATGTCTTAGTCTGGGGTTTCTCAGAATGTGCTCTATGGGCTGGTACCAGGTTTTTATAAAAGACCAGCACATTTAAGAATCTAGGTAAAATAAAGGTAACATGTTTCTTTACTATGAGACCTTTCACAGTCTTCAATATGCTGATATTATTATGGCTCTCCAAAGGGGCAGAGGATATGCAGTGCTTCCCAAATTTGTCTGGCTGTGGAAACTTGACTTTCTGGACATCTATCATGTTTAGTGTTCCTCTGAACATACTCTGGGAAACACCGTCTTCATTATTTCTTTCAAACATTTTTCAGTTTCTTTAGGTACCATACATTTCATACACACACTCCCCGAAACTCCGGAGTACATCGCCCGGTAAACCCACATGAATTGACTGAAACGTTTTGGTTAACTAAACCTAATGTTTTAGGTCAAGTTCTGATTTCAAACATGCATGCATATAGCATATATTAGGACGCAGTACACAGCAATTGTCTGAATCCTAGAATTTTACTACTTAAGGGGAATTTTGCAAC